TTGTGTCATTTTTTGCTGCTTCAAAATCAAATTTCCCAAATTTAGCTAATAGTTACAGTCCGTTATGTGATATGGCATATCCACCCCAAAAAAACTTAAATGATTATAAGCCGCCAGAAAAAGAACAATTTTCAACCTTTTCTTATTTGATGTCCGTAGAGACATTCAAATATACATAATATTAAGAGAATTTTGCAAAATAGAATTATTCTACGTGTAAAGAGCAAAAATATTTAAAATTAATGTGCGTTATTTGTAATTTGGAGTAGTATTCACCTTTGTACCTGATGGATTGACCCCCGTCAAAATTAGTTAACTTCATCACCGTCTTGCAGTCCTTTTTTCCATTTAGAACGTCTTGTATTTTTAAAAATTTTATCAATGTGTTCTGTTTTTCCCATTAGTACCAGTACAGGACAGTGTAAAATGATTTCTCACACCTTCATAAGACAACACATTGACCTCCGTCTTGCAGCTCGTTATACCTCCACAGGACGTCTTGCATCAGTATCCAGTAGCTATTCTATATTCAAGCTTTAATCTAAATCAACAATGAAGTGGTGTAAAATGATATTTCACCCCTCTGAAAAATTGACAATGTCTATCTAATATTACAACTCCGAAACCTCCATGAAAACGTCTTGCATGTGTTAATCCAATTTTATTTGTGTACAAATTAACTCAATAAATAAATGCAAGATGGTGTATAATTATATATTTTCCTTGTTTATGACAAAATTTTCTGAAATATTTTTTTCAGCGAAATCCCCCACTCCCATCTATTTCCCTGCACAAGTGCGTTTCACCATCATGTTATCTAACTGATGATAACAATGCAAGACGGTGTAAAATGATTTGATGAAATAGGCCTGGTATCCCGTACTAACAAGTCTTTTTTTCTACATAAAAAAATTGAAAGCATTGACAATTTTACATTGTAGGTATTGCCAACATAATGTCATTTTGACTTTTATCTTTAAAAAAAAAAAAAACAGATTTTAGTTCGGAATCATTCTCCACATGTGCATGGTATAAGAAGCGTTTTCGTTTTTTTAGAATCGTAATCGAACTGTGTTGACAGCGTTAGATATTTAGAACCATATACTTAAATTAGCTTCAAACATCAGTATATACCAGTTTCAACCATGAAATTCACTCAGACTGGTTTGTGATTTCTGCAAAAACAGACCCATTCGAAATTTGGACACGAGCGACGAATGAGCGAGTGGATAAACGAATGAGTGCGAGAATAGCCTTGTCCAACGTGAGTTTTACACTATTTTCTCGATTTTGGATTATATTTTTCATTTAAAAAAAAAATGTGGTCGCTGTTAGTGGTTTTTTTTGCAAAATATGTCAGTTGGTAACACTTACTTACCAACCAACTGACATGTGGACTCTATGATTTAAGAAGGTTTTTTCAAAAAGCTTCCCTGTTGACTGAATCACTGGCAGTGGCGTATCCAGGGGGGGGCAAAGGGGGCAATTGCCCCCACCCAGAGCAGCAACCTTTTATTTCTTAAAAATATCTCAAATAACAAAAAATAATATTTTCTACTCGCGTGCGCAAAGTAATTACTTTGCACACTCATTTGCGTGCGCAAAGTTGCGTTTCTGGATAAACTAATATTCAAAAAGAAGGGCTTGATGTTATTTTTGTTCCAAGAAAGGTTTTCAGGTAATGTTTAGCATTTTTAATTTGAAATTTTTCGTATGAGGAGCGAGGGGAGGAAAAATCCAGCAAAAACAGTTAGGTGTGAGGTCAAGTGACCATTGGCGTGGGCAGCCACCCACTCATATTCCTCCTGACTAGTCATGACTTATTTGTTTTTTAAATTGTTGTTTTTCAAATTACGAAATGTTAGGATTAAATTTTATAGATACATTTTTGGAATTTTCATATGTATAATAAATAGGTAGTGATTTTTTTACACTATTTCACTATTTTTCATTGCATTTTTGACGTGTGTAAGTTCTGAGTATAATAACATTCCTTTGGAGTATCAGATCATTAAAGTTGGACAGTAAGTTATACTCCTCCATATACTTCCCAACCCAATGGTGTCGCGGAAAGAATGAATCAGACACCAATGGACAAAGCAAGATCTATAATAATGAAATAATGCAAGCAAAAATGGACAGGATATTTTGGGAAGATGCTGTACTTGCTATGTAAAACTAATTCAAAAAGTCACATGAAAAAATAATCATCCTGGTGTAATAAGTTTAGTCTCAAAATTAGGCAGGAAAAACAAATTCTAAGTAAACCTCGCTAGCACAACCACTGTTGCAAATAAAGTCAAGGTGATTACTGAAAAAAAAACACATTTAAGGCCGCGTTAATGGCCGCCATGTTTAAACTGTGATTGGTTGATTTTTCGAAACTTGTTTTAAGGTCTTTAAAAAAACGGCACATCAGAATTGGCTCAAATTTGGCATAAACATTATTTGATCGATTATCTACAATTCCTTATTTTGGTTTTTCGATATTTAGCCTTTTTTTTTAAATTCAAAAATCATGTTCGCAACCAACAAAACAATTAAATGTGTTGGTGGTTGCATATTTGCATGTTTATCAAGCTTGGATCCGTGAAAAGCATATTTTATTGATAACCACGAAAAACTAAAAAAAGCTAATTATAGAGATTGTAAATAATATATCAAATAATGTTTATGCCAAAGGATTTTGGAAATTATTGCGGATTTTTTGAGATGACCTTAAAACGAATTTTGAAGGTGTAAACAGTTCAAGCAATTTCAAGTAGATGGCGTCACGGCAAAAAAGCTACATTGGGACCATCATAATTGTATATTTGTCTTTCTCTGTCACTAAGCGTTTCACCGACAAAGAGATTTTGTTTTGGACAAAAAATCAAAAATTGAACCGTATGTGTAGAGTGACGCAGTCATCATTTTCAAAAACTAAATTTAAACATGGCGGCCATTAACGCGGCCTTAACTAAGAGCGAAAATTACCAGTTTTGAGCATCCGGAAACATTTAAAGAAGATTAGGTACCCACAGCTCCTTTGGATGCTATGCAAATCTTCAAATACTCGTAGAAAAAGTATTGTTTTTAACACTTGCGCAAAGTGTCTTTCCCGCACTCAAAGCTTATTTTTGCGCACTTGCGAATATGCCATCAAGATGTGTGTGTGTGTGTGATTTTAACGACTTTCGGGCATGGCACCTCTAAAAAAATTCCGCCTCCGGCGGACATCGGGTGTGCCCCCCCCCAGAGCTTCAGGCTGGATACGCCACTGATCACTGGACTGAATCAAATGCTTTCACTAAATCTATGATGGTCATGTATAAAGGGGATTTGGTATTTGGATTTCTCTTGCACTGAAAATAATGTCAAATGTCATCTCTACCTAGGTTGGATCTGAAGGCATACCTACTTGTCTCTGGGAGGATCTCTTCGGCAGTTGGGATGAACGATTTGATAATATCTGGGCAAGTATCTCTCCCGCAACAGAAAGTAAAGGATTTTCTGGTAAGTAGTTCTTGAAAGGGTTCCTTCGAACGACAATTGGTGAAAGATATATAAGCAGTCTTGCGCCACCTTTGAACCATAAGAGTTGGGAGTCCTTGTGATTGGTCCGTATACCATTTTAGTAACCTGAAAGAAGATCCTGGTGCTGTTGGATTGGATATGAAAGCTTATATAAGTGATCTAAATCAAAGATCTAATTTTCTTGATCAGCATGCGTGACTATTACACTTCAAAATAACAGGTAATCATCACGCCAAGAAGGACGATTTACAATTTACATCAACTTCAGTAGCTTTTTTTTATTATCAAGGGATACCAATAATAAGTGTCCAAAATACCATGTCCCAATATAACTATCTTGGGAACGGGCATATGAGATCAGTTAAATTAGAGAAAAGCTGCAAATTTCAGTGAACACTTCTCCAAACACCATCTCTCTGATCCATGGGTGGTCAGGGCCGGATCTACGAATTTTTCGAGGGGGGCAAAGATGTGAATTGCCGCCTCCTGCTAAATATTATTTTTTATGTATACTTATATCAAAAATGAGGTGTTGAATTTCACAATTTATTTATATGTAGCAGTAGCGGCTCGTCGTGTATACTGGAAGGGGTTCACACCTAAAGTAATCCAGTAATTGAAGGCCAGCGCGTGAGATCCAGTAGTTGTAGCACACCGCAGAAATTCTTTTCGGGTGCCGTGCCATTTATTGGGATATCAAAGATTGATCAAAAAAACTTAAATCCTATAATCGCTCGATATTTGACAAGTCCTTTATTTATCTAGGGGCTGGTAGCGCACAATGCATAGCTGTGGCCAGAGCCGGATTCAATGTTGTACTGTTGTACAACAGAATTCATTTATAGCATGATATTTTTGAATTTATTGTATTTATTTGTCTGCGTGCACATCAAAATTAGAAGCTTATGTCAATATTGCGCATACGCATCTTATTAGCGGGCAAACGGACGGGACGCGGACCATCCATGTTACAACGGGATCGGACGTTAAAACTCTATTTCCTCCGGAGAGGACAGCATAATACAGGGAACCTTGAGTAACGTTACTGTGGGGTGGTCAGCTATTCTATCAGAAGATGTGTTACAAGTTGGCACAATATTAGATAATGAATTTGAAAAAAATATTCGCCAGATACCTATGTATGTTTTATGAAAAAAAGTAAGGCAGTGTCTTCCAAGGTGTCTTCTTTTTTTGCCGCCCCCTCAAGATGCGAAAGGGGGCACGCGCCCCTGTTCGCCCCCCCCCCCCCCTAGATCCGGCCCTGTGGGTGGTGAATAGGTAACAAAGCATGTGGACTGAACGGTCTCCAAGGATCCAACGGTTGGGTGTGCAATAACTCAGAAAAATGGACTGCTTATCTTCTTTAAACATTCAAGTACTCAAAGATCAAATACTAAAGAAAAATTGACTGAAGACAAAAGTAACCTAAGCTACAAATAAAGAGAAGTCGGATTGAAAATTTTATTATAAAGTCATTTCAACCACAGTTTTTCTACATCCACAGTCGAGAATTGAAAGTAAATAAAATAGAATTAATAAACGTTCCAATTAATTTATGAGCGAATCAACAAATAAAAAAGTATTGCAAGTATAGTACCTACTATCTAAGTAGTAAGTGGACCATTTCATAATGTTCACTTCCTAATAATAAACACAAACTCAAGTATACCACAGTGGTGTAGAACATTTCCGATACAAACAAAACTAATAAAAATATTGGTTATAATTTCTAACATACAATGTCGCCATCATCAATATTTATTCGTAGTCTGAGTCTGTAGAACAATCGAAGTAGTCATAATCATGAAAATGTACAACATTATCTTCAGTATTATACTTGCACTCATAAAAGATATCATCTTCATTATAAATCTGATCCCAATTATAATAATGCTTATTTTCTTCACCATGATGGTCGTTATCATTATAATCCCCATCTTTATTATCAGAATCATCCTCATCATTATTATGATCAATCTCATAATAGCTATCCTCATCTTCATTATTATAATCATCCTCATAATAATCTTCATTATCATAATAATGCTCATCATAATAATCCTCACATTCATAATAGATATCATCTGCACTATAAACGTGATCCCAAGTATGATTTTGCTCATCTTCTTCACCATAATGGTCGTCATCATAATAATCCTGAGCTACATTATCATAATGATCCTCATCTTCATTATCATGATAATCCTTATCTGTATTATCATAATCATCCTCATGATTATAATCATAAGCACTCTCATAGCTATCCTCATCTTCATTATTATAATCATCCTCATAATAATCTTCATCATTATAATAATAAAGCTCATCATAATAATCCTCACATTCATCATCATAATTCTCATTCTCATCTTCATCTACATAATCATCATATTCCACATATTCCTTGTTATGTTTTCTATGATAATAAATAACATAGGCAGGGTAATATGAAGCATCATCATATTTAACCAAAACAGTTCCAGTTTTATTCTTGGAAGTGTACGAAGCAGGAGCTTTTGGTACTATTGTTTCTTTACATCCATTTTCCAGCGGATTGGCATAAAACATTTTAGCCAACACCATAACTTTATTATTTTTTTTGCATTTCTTTGGATAATGAGTAGCGTATGATGAATTCTTGGCGAATGAGATTCCCTTTCCAAATTTGTGAGTTATGATCTGGAAATAAATGAATTATTAATATTGGGCAAGCCTCCTTCAAAAAATGTTGAACAACAATAATTTATCGTTAATAGGCTTTGAAAAAAAAATTACCCAAGGAAATCAGGCGTTAACTGAGGTTGATATGTGGATATCAAGACATTTTCCTTAAAATATCTTACCTTTGATCTGTCGAAATTAAATTCACAAATGCTGGTCAAGTTCTCCTGCCCAGTGCCGTGGAAATAGAATTCTTCTTCGAACCCAAACTCATCATTTTGGGACAAAAATTTGCTTTTGGCAATATGGTAGTGCAATAAAATAAAATGATTTTCGATTTTGTGGACTTGCGAAATTTTATGCTTATTTTCTGTGGTAGAGAACTTATTATGAATCATTTTATATTCCTCAGAACCATTAGATAATGATATTTGCTTGAACGGCTTATTGGGATAGTTATCTAGAAGTGGTAATTCAAAAGTCTTTGTGAGATCTTGGAGCAGGTTGAAGTCTTTTTGGATTACTTTAAGTGCGGGTAATTCATATTTTGAGTTTTGCATTGTGGATTTCCTGAAAAAAAGAAAAATATAAATTGGTTATTCAAAAAAAAATCATGTTGCTGGCTGGTAGTTGTTTAACTTAGCCCAAATAGTTCTTTAATACCACATTATCAGAGTGTACTCCCAGAGAAGTCGCCATTGCTCTATTAGACCCTCTAAAAAACGAATTAGAGTGATTAAAAAAAAAAATCCAGATGAACCCATTGATAGGGTTGCCAGATTTACGAGAGGGAAAAGCGTGGCAACAACGGGGCGGGAGATTTTTTTTAAAAATTAATTCTATCCCACGCACAAGGTGTTTTGTCACCTTCAGTGGGGTTGAATCTTTTATTTCCGAAAGGGCCGGTTTCTCAATAGTAAGTCACCCCCGGGTTAAGTATAACTCCGAGGTTAACATAGCAACTAGATACGCTTACTCTGGAGTTAAAATAAACCCGAAGGTGACTCGCTATTGAGAAACCGGCCCTAAGTAAGTGAGAATGTTTATAGTATACAGGGTGTTCCGAAATTAATTCACCAAATTTTTATGACATTCTACGTCGAAAATAAGCCCTAGTTACCTATATAAACATATGTCCGGAAACGCTTCCTTTCCGAGATACAGGGTGTTGAAATTCTAAGAAAAAAACTATTTTTTTATCATAGTTCATACCACTTTGAAATTTTGTACACTGGTTTCAAGCAACCAAAGACATTTTATGACGTGGAATATTTAATAAAAAAATTACCAGTGACGTCACAAAACTAATTTGAAACTTTAGGTCTTCAATATTTAACATTTTTATCATAATTTTGGCAATTTCGCCATGCATCAAAATGGTTTCTTATTTTTTTACTTTAAAACAGTGCATCTTTTGGAAAAAAGTGAAGAGATCAAATTTGTTCTAAATTGAATGGGGATTTGAAAAATGATTTTTATTTTAGAAAAAAGCAGTGGCGCACTATTCTTAAAAAATATTCCTCACAAATCTGGTAGCACGCCACTGGTAATTTTTTAAAAAAATAATTTCACATCAAAAAATGTCTTTTGCTGCTTGAAAGCAGTGTACAAAATTCCAATGAAATATCTAGAGTGGTTTGAAAACTATGAATGAAAAATAGTTTTTTTCTTAGAATTTCAACACCCTGTATCTCGGAAAGGAAGCGTTTCCGGACATATGTTTATAAAGGTAACTGGGACTTATTTTCGACGTAGAATATGCCATAACAATTTGGTGCATTAATTTCGGAACACCCTGTATAAACTCTGTCTCAAAATTAAAGATAAAAGTCAAAATGACATTATATTGGCAATACAATGTGAAATTGTCAATGCTTTCAAATTCTGTATGTAAAATGGCTACAAAATTTTTGACCAGGGGCCTTATTCTGTAAGGAACGAACCGTTCCATTCAGTAGAATTTCTCCGATTGTGACGTCATTTTCGGTTTAGTAGCGCGAAAACCAAACCAAAAATGACGTCACAATCGAAGAAATTCTACCGAATCGAACGGTTCGTTCTTACAGAATAAGGCCCCTGGTCAAAAATTTTGTAGCCATTTTACATACAGAATTTGAAAGCATTGACAATTTCACATTGTATTGCCAACATAATGTCATTTTGACTTTTATCTTTAATTTTGAGACAGAGTTTATACAGGGTGTTCCGAAATTAATGCACCAAATTGTTATGGCATATTCTACGTCGAAAATAAGTCCGAGTTACCTTTATACACCTAACACATATACTGTTATACACGCATCTGTATACGTACATATGTACATACAGGGGCTTTCATTTCGAAATTTGCAACCCACGTTATCTGCCTAATGAGGCAGATTTCTGGAAATCGCCGGAACACGTCAACAAATTAACGCACCCCCTCAATAAATTTGTTGACATGTTTCGGCGATTTCTAGAAATCTCTCTATATATATTTACGTATAATATGCATAAGGCTATTTTCGAAATTCTCGAATGTAGGGCTGAGAAATCTTACCTCTTTAGGACAATGTGACCATTCAATTGTAGTTATATTTACCAAACTACAGTAAAAAAATCAACTGGTTATAAATCGTTTTTTATGAGCCAGTAATTGCTACATTTTTGAGAAAGAGGACACTGCAGACCAAACCATTTATTTTGTGGCTCAAATCGAATTTCGAATTATTTATAAAATTATCTCATTATTCACCTGAAAAATTAACTGTTAACTGTTAATAATTACATTTGCATAATCACCTAATCAAGGTATTTTACATGTGCTCACTAATGCTCACTCTAGTAGCTACTACTTTTGCAGCTTTTCGCAATAGAAAAGTTAGGCGTATTATCAATACGAAGATGCTCGAGAAGATTTAGCCGGTGATTGATGAATAAAGTATTACCGTGAAGTCGACAACTTTTGAGTGTAGGACTGGAGAAATGTACCTCTTTATTTGTAGGACAGTGTAACCATTTAATTGTAGTAATATTTACTAAGCTACATTAGAAAAATCAACTGGTTATAAATCATTTTTTATGTAACGTATCTGCTACATGTTTGAGAAGGGAGACAGCCTAGATCAAACCATTTATTTTGTCGGACAAATGTTGTTTCATATTATTTATGAAACTATCTTAGCATTTAGTTACAAAATTAACTGTTATTATTTACATTTGTATGATCACCAAATAGACATGTTTTCCACCTGCGTACTCTGTTAGCTACCTGTTTTTGGAATTTTCGCAACAGAAAATTTGGACGTCTTATCAAAATGAAGATACTCACGAAGATTTAGCCGGTTATTAATGAAAAAAGTTAAATCGTGAAATCGACAACTTTTGAGTGTAGGACTGAAAATAGCTACCTGTTTATTTGTAGGACAGTGTGACCATTTAATTGTAATAATATTTACCAACCTACATTGAAAAAATCAACTTGTTATTAATCATTTTTTATGCAACGTAATTGCTACATGTTTGAGGGGGGGGGACATCGTAGACCAAACCCTTTATTTTGTCGGACAAATGTTGTTTCAAATTATTCATAAAATTATCTCAATATTTAGCTGAAAAACTAACTGTTATTAATTAAATTTTCATAGTCACCAAATCGACATGTTTTACACCTGCGCAGTATGTTAGCTACCTGTTTTCGCAATTTTCGAAGAGAAAAAAGTTGGGCGTCTCGGTGAAATGAAGCTGCATTGAAAAAACTAGCTTGTTATTAATGATTTGGAAAAAAGGTCCTCGGCCCCCGGACTAAATCATTTTATGATAAAAAATGTATGACCCCTGCTGGGCTGGGGCACAGCGTTGTTGGGTTTAACTGGGGGTTTAACCATTATTAGGCGTTTTCTGAAAAACTCTATTCTTGTGTTTCCCTTTGAATTTGAAAAGCGTGGTATTGGGGTACTTCGGCATGGCGCGTGGCAGCAATTGGAAAAGCGCGGTAATCACGCCTAAATCTGGGCGTCTGGCAACCCTACCCATTGATGACTATACACCAACAAATGTAAAAGTAGCCAAAAATTTAGTAAAGAAAAACTGCAAAGACTTGGATTCAGCTTTGCTAGCTTATAGCACAACAGTGTTGTGCTATAAGCTAGCAAGTGTTGTGACAACACCTCTTGCATGTGGACTGAACCCATCTGAACTACTTATGAACCGTAAGTTAAGATCTCATTTGCCAATTTTGTCAAGCACATTCAATAAAACAGTTATTAGGTACTGAAAATATACCGGATAAAGAGAATTTAGCAAATGAGACATTAGTGCGGTTAAAAAAAAAAACAAAGCAATGTCAGCACTAATGGTTTGCAGAAACATTGAGGGTTGTTAAATGTCAATTCTGAGTACGATTCTGAGATGAACCATGTAGTGAGACTTCTCATTATTGACGGAGCGGTAGCTTTGCATAGTCAAGCCCCAGTTAGTAACAGCTAGGAAACTCCTAGAAAAAGTTAAAAGACTTGCATGTCTCTGTATAAGAAGAGCGATGAGATCATGTCCAACTGGGGCACTAGAAGTCATCACTCCACATAATAGTGAAGCGGATTGCCAGGGAATAATATATTAGACTGACGAAGATAGGTGTTAAAAGGAAAATGCACTCTAACAGAACTTGTCCTTTCCCAAACAGTGCACCCTTTATGGATCTACCAAAACAGGGGCGCAGCCAGGAGGAGGGGAGACAGGGTTACCGGGCCCGGGCCCCCTTCAAGACTTAATGAAATATCAGTAGACAAAAGCTGTAAACTGCTCATATCATAAAAAACTTAGGGGGTGTAAACCTAAAATAAGTTTTTGCTTTATGTCATGATATGTAAAAAAAATCCAAGGAAACATCGAAAATCTTGCCTCTATGACGAATTTCTATCAAAAGATATCAGTCATTAGAGTTTGCAACAAAACGTAGATGTGACATCGCAACCGGGTGGAGCCCAACAGAGTCTGATTTTTTGTATACCTACTTTAGTTTAAAACCAAAAGCCATATATGTTTCACCTATTTGAGTCAAACCGTATTTATATTAAGTGAGAGTCGCAGGATTTTATAAGAGTCTGAGTCTACGGTATTCGAGCGGTTGTGACGTCGTCACGCTTCCACGGTTGTTTGTTGTTTTGCGAATATCTCGAAAACCTTTAGGCATAATAATGGTGCGGCTTGAAATATGTATTGATCTTAGAATTTGTTATACAGCAATTTTAATTTTTGGTTTACACCTCCTGGATTGTGGGTCTTTTGAGAGCAGCGACGGTTATGATGACGTTCGAGTACTTCCGGTGATTATTGACGAAGAAGATTGGGTTCTGGCTGCACAGCTCGAAGACGAAAAGTGTCATCAGCTATGTATGCTGTGTTGAGAGAATCCACGGATTGAAATGGGTGGTACCAAAAAGCTCTAGAAAACGGCTCGCAATGTACTGCCAACTACCATGATGGTGTAGGACACTTGGCAGTTGAAAAGACTCTTGAGGTTATTCAACCAACATCGTTATTGGTTTGCGAGTATGCGAAGATACGTTAACAATTAGGTACATATTAGG